TAATGAAATATACTTCGGAATGAAAAAGTGTAGCCTTAGCATCTTCTCTGAAACGTTTTGGATGTCATTTGTATTTCAGGTCATAACGCTGAATCGGAAAATGATTTCCAGTGATGCTTCAAATTTGAAATACAGAGATAATTTCATCTTTGTTTTTTGCTACTTGGATCTGTGCTCTTGAGGGAAAAAAGAAAGTGGGATCACACAAAAAAAGTAGACATTGCTGCGACAATAACCCTCAGAGCCGCTGCGGTTGGTCAGGCTTCTTCATCCAACTCCTAGTAATTCAAATAATTATCGTACATAGGTCCTTCTGCAAACTTAGTGAGGAGGTTTCCTTATGTCTATACAAGATCTCTTTCTAACCTAAATCAAGTTCTACATTATTATAACCATCAGAGAACCAAGCCAAAGACCAACAAAGTCAGTTCCCACCTATCAGAGAACCACGAGGTGATATGACAACCCTAAGGGTGACCAGAATCCCAACATTAAAGATATTACAAGGGCCCTATGTAATTAATCAAATACCCTACACAAATAAACAAATGGCTTAAGACCAATTTATACACCATGTCAATTTTTTTAAGTCGTTATTCCCTCTACAGCCTTGTTTGCTACTGAACAGTAGTATAAAACAACACTTGGCATTTTAGCATATTTAATCCACTAGTTAAATGTTTTAAGAGGTAAATAATTTGGATAATTATAAAAACTCTGCTCATTTTTTTCAATGTAAATGACTGCAAAGTGCATTAGCCTCCTCTATACATAAGAATTACAAGTACCCTCAGAGAACTAGATTAAATTTCTGCTTGAGAAAGGCTATAAGAGTTTTTTCATATTTTATCTGAGGGGCTCTTAGAATTCCATAAATCATGACTATTATAGCAAAAAAAATTCTGTTCTTTCTGTCTGATCATATCAAAAGAGGAATGTAGTTATCATACAGATAGACAGAGTAAACCCAAGCCTAATAATGCTGCTGTAAATTTGCTCCGATTTCAATAAATAATAAATCAGAGAAATGAGTAAACAAGACTCAGAAGTAATCAGTGATATTAGTAGTTCTATCCAGCAAAAGAGAGAAAGAAATCTGTTACCTGAAAGCTTCACCAAGGATGACCGACAGAAAGCAAGTCCATAAAACTTCACTGTTTTTATCAAATTGATTGTAACTTGTGAGCCGCACTATTTGGGGCAAAACCGTCTGAGTTTATAGTTTTCTCTGCCTGCCAAAAACAGATGCAGACTACCACACGAGCTGTCCTGCGGAAACTAAATTAAGCAAAGGCAAATACCAAGTGGAAAGTTGTCAGACTGTTGAATGAATGGCCTCATTTTACACACCAGAGAATATCTTAATAAGAATAAGCTTTAACGTGCACCAGTCATTTCAAGTGCATCACTTATTCAAAAATAGTCATTTTCCCTTTCAATCAATGATAAACACCTGCCCATAACTTTCTTAAAGTTCTTTTCCTTTTAGACACAATAGCATAGTATTATTACATTACTGTTTGCTATCAAAGGGATATTTAAGTAAAAAACAGTAATTTTTACATGTCTGAATATGGAAAACATTGAAAGACCACTAACCCAATAATTTGTACTCGTTTCCAATTAGAAATCCAGTTCTAGCTCAAAAATAATTTGCTACAAGTTCTTTTAAAACTTTCACTAATGTTTATTTACTTCGACAAAGAAGATAAGACAGGAGTTTATTAAAACTTAACACTTTTTGGCATTCTTAATAGAAATATGCAGATCATTAAATACAAATTGCGGTCACTATTCTCTGTTTCTCTCCACACAGACACACACAGACAAATAATAATAATAATAATTTAATAGAAACATCATTGATAAACTAGAATCTTAAAAGCAGCTCTTTCATAGCTGCATTCATTTCCGTTTGGAAGTTTTCCCTGATGAATGAAGATTTCCTTATGGGTCGTCCAGAGACGTACATTGTGCAAATCAGAGTAAACTCAGAAGTAATATGACTTAAATGAAAAGTAAAAATAATACTGAAAATATGGTAGGGGTGTATGCAACTCACCCACGATTAGCACACTAATATATATTCTAACTGGTTTTTAAGCAAGAACTGTATAAAATCATTTAAAGTATTATCGTCAAAATGCTGAGCTCTAAAATCAACTCCGACTGCACAGCCACAAGGATACTTTTCTCTTTACGTTTAATGTTACCTTGAAGACACAAAGGACAACATCTAAATTAGCAGCAGAGACCCTTACAGCAGTGTCTAGAATGCAAAGAAGTAACAAACAGTTTTGTAAGGAACTTGTTATGTTCCACTATTTATTTGGAGAGTGCCAGACTTGGCCATTATTATGTGTGAAAAAGTATTCTTCACACACATTACCCCAACATACAACATATATCGGGAAGCCACCAACATCGGCTCACCGATGGGAAGTTATACTTCGCCAACAGAATATTAACAAAGCTTCAGGATGTCTCACATTGAGAGAAATCAAGTCAGAATGTTGGCAGTAAACTCTATCTCCCCTCAGAAGATTTCTATTCACATTATTAATACCCAGGGATAATCGTCAAACTTGAGCACATTAGTGGCCTGTCTATTCGACTGAACCTAGAGATGCTTCATCCCAGAGTACAACTTAAAAGGAAAGTTTAAAAACTGAGGAGAGAAAAGCTCTAACAACAATACTTTTGACTCATTAAGATTAAGCATGTCATTAATAAACTTTCCCTTAAAGGTAAAAAAAAAATCCTCAGAATGTTGGTATCATTTCCAGAATGTCCGGTCAGCATCACAACTTACAGGAAACACTTCATCTCCCCATACAAACCCTGTATTTATTCACAACCCTGGCATACTTGGGGAAAGAAAAAAAAAAGCCCACACCATTTCAGAGCTGGTTGGCTTTTTTTACATTAGCTGGTGGAATATCTGAGAAAGTGCTCTAGGCAAACGAGCAGCATGGACGAAACTTCACAACAGTGAGTTCAGAAACTTTCGTTCTCATTTTGTCCACGTCAAGCACTGGCTGTGTACATGCATTACGTTCCCTTGCTGCCCCCCGCATTTTTAACTCTGGCAGCGTTTTCTAAATGATCAACTTTTCCCAAAACCAGAAGAAAAGTAACATGAAGCCAGCAAGATCCATAGGTTTTTACCTTAAAGAGCTGAAGGACTTTGAAGACTTTTTGGAAGGTTCCTATTTTATTTTTGCTTTGAGCAATCCAATGTTAGGCAACAACCAGGCCTAGAGTTATCACTTCTTCGTCATTTTTGTCTGGGCCCGATCTGTGTTTTCCCTTTGTACTTATTATTCCTCTCAGACCCTTTCCTGTTCACCTGGTGCATTTACAAAAGTTCAATGACTCTACAAAAGTGCGATGAATTGGCCTAACTTCTCTGCAATTTAACTTCGCTAAGTTTCTCACTTCACTTACCTCACTGAAAAGTCTAGCCGTGATTTTCCAAAATAGGTTAAGGATGAATATTCTATCATAATTGTGGTTCATCATTAAGATCCACCGCTCTTACTCAAAATCTTTCATAGTTATCAATTATGAGGCCTAAAAAGATGTGAAGAAGTAAAGCAAGACCTAAAACTTAGTGAGTCCAAGATTCTCCCTGAAACCCACCAGTCGTTCTTACCCTCTGACTTAAATTGCTTTAGAGACTTAGGGCCATAAAACAGTGACTGACTGCCCTGGGGGAAACACCACCATCTCACACAGGTACTAACAAAAAAAAAAAATTTCCCAGCCACAAAAACATCTTTGCACTTCAAACAGTTCCCACCCCTGCCTCACCCTCAAATTATTCATGGGGTCCTGTAATCCTGGAGTTATTTGAAGGGGCAGCCCGTGTTTGCCTTGGCCTTTCAAAGATGCGTTTCTCTAGAACCCAAACAGGAACTAGACACAAGGCGAAGCGCCCATAAGCCTGAATGTCCCAACGCTGTCAGGCATTTAATCACCGGCCAGTGTCCACTGACCCGAGACACATGGCGCATCACCCGCACCGCAGAGGAAGTCTGCCCCTTCTTCAGCCCCTACGGAAGCGCCCTGGCTGCAAGGCCCTGCCACATGGCACGGACCGGCACAGACCCCTCGGCCAAGCCGCCCTGAGCTGTGCACAGGCCGGTGCATCAGGGGATGCGACAACCCTCCTTCCCCAGCTTGGTTGGGCCTTCAAGGGAAAAAAAAAGTTTGAAGCCTGGTTTTGCAAACTCTTCAAAGCCAACACCGGTCCTCTGCTGTTTTCCTACTTCGGGGACCCCACGAAAGGCCCCTCTCTGAGACCCTCTTGACCCTCCCAAGTTCGCCCAACTTACTACTGTGCATGCTGGTGCCTAGTCTGCTCCCCGCTTGTCAGGAGCCCCAGAAAACTTGCAGCGGCGGCGGTGTTGGCGGCGGCGGCCCCTCAGGTCCAGCCACCTCCAGCTCCTCCGCCGCGCCCGGTAGGAGAGAATTAAAATCAGCCAGAAAGAGACAGAGGGGGGGAGCGAGACTGCGAGGGGGAGGGGGCACCAGCCTGAAACTTCTTTTTTTGGCAAATGGGGGTTTGTTTTTCCTCCTCCCCGGCGGCTGAACTTGACCCTCCTGACTCCAGGGGCTACTGCAGTTTGAAGTCTCTCCTTTCTAAGGCTCAGATGCCTTAGACCCACCAAAAGGGGGGGGGGGGGGGAGAGCAGAAGAGCAGAAAGAAAGAAAGAAATCACACGCGCAAAAAAAGGAAGAAAGAAAATGCATGTGAAACCCGAGAAGCCTTCGCTTGGCTTTCTGCACACTCTCCCTCTGCTTTTTTTTTTTTCCCCCAAAAAGAAAGTCACTTTTAATTCCCAGGGCTCCCCGCTCGCGATCGCCCACATTTTGCGCACACACGCTTGGGCGCAGCACTCGCAGCGCGGTGCCCGGGCCGGGCCGAGCGGCTCCCGCGCCCCCCCGCCGTACCCTCCGCGCCCCGGCCCGAGGCCCACGGGGCCTCCCCTCCTTACCTGTTGATTAATCGTCAAGAACACCCTCCGCAGCCCGAAAGATGGTGGCGCGGCAGCCAGAGCCATGAACCGTCTTCTGTTGTTTGCAGAGTTGATCTTGGATTATTTGGGGGGGGAGAAAGGTCTTTCCTGCCTCCCCCCCTTCTCCTCCCCCCTTTATTAAAAAAGACAGAGATAGAGAGAGAGGGAGAGCAAGAGAAAGAGAAAGGAAATAGAACAAGGATGTGCCCGGTGCCGGGTGGGAGAGGGGAGGGGGGGTGTTTTTTGTTAAAAAAAAAAAAAAAATGGAAAGGCGAGAGAGCGATCGAGAGGACGCGGGGTCCGGAGAAACGAGCAGCACCAAAAAAGAGGACGCTTGAGATTGCAGTGAGATCGGGTCTTTATCAGAAATGTTATCGCTTGTCAGGACCTCAGTCTCCGCGCATTACGTCAGTTTCAAGACACCAACACTATTAATATCAAAGGAGCCTTCGCGGAGGAAAGCGCCACCCCAGACCGAGCTCCCTTAAAGAGACAGCGCGCGTCCCCGCGCTGCCGCCGCCTCCGCCGCCGCCCCGCCCGGCCCCGAGCACCAGCCGCTGTCGCCCGCCGAGACCGGCCCCGGCTGCGGCCCGCCGGCTGCACGAGAACTTCGCCCGAGTCCGAGCGCCGCAAATGAGAGCTGCGCTGTGCAGGGACCCAGCTACCTTCCCGCCCCGCCTCTGCCCCCTCCTCCTCCTCCCCCACCCCCACGTGTGAACGTGCGGGCTGGAAACCCAAGAAAAATCCGAAAGCTTTAGAATAAGGAGATAAAGATAAGGACCTACCTTGGGGGGAGGGGGGCAGGTGAAGCGCCAGTGCGTGGTGGCCAAACCGATGGCCCCGAAACACTTGGAGATGCTCTCAGGAACAGTCAAAAGAACTCTAAAAGTGCTTTTACCTTTGGGTGTTTCTTTTCCTTCTCCCTCCCAATTAAACGAGGCAGGATTTGTGTGTGTGTGTGTGTGTGTGTGTGTGTGTGTGTGTGTGTGTGTGTGTGTGTGTGTGTGTCCCCTCCCCCGCCCTTTTACTAAGACGTGAAGTCTTAGGACACCTAGTCCGTGGGCTGTTTGTTGCCCATGCATTTGATGGCAAGTGGGCTTGAGGAGAACTTGAACTCTATCCTGAGTTGGAGAAGCGGGACGAAGTTGCTATGGTTTTGTGGGCTAGGGAGAAATTAGCGAGCTCCATGGGTGCTTAATAGTGGTACCACCACATAGGTAAGATGGGAGCACTATTCAAATGATGCAAGATTAGTACCTGCAGCTCTTTGGAGTTGCAGTAGCAAAAGATAAGGAATACTGAATTAAGCTCGACATACTCTTTACTACTTCACATCCCCAAATAGTCTCATTGTTCAATGAAATTCCCTCAAAATAAGTTACCGAACTGGGCAGGGTGTTTGTTTTGTTTTGTTTTATTTTTAAATTTTCCTTTTTAACTTCTAAAAACCAACAACGCATAAAAGAATACCACGACAAGATTCAAAGTATAGTAGGTGTTAAAAACTAAGTAAACATTTCTTGGGAATTTGGACTTCATTTTCTTCAGTTGGGTGACTTTAAGTGGCATGTTTTTCCTCTAGTGAAAATCAGTTTAAACTAATTTTGTGCTAAAAGAAGAAACATCCTCCTTCTCCAAACTACAAAATGATTAAAATTAGAATTTTAGAGAGGTACAATCATGAATCTGTACGCCAAAGATGAAGTAATTTCCTCTGGAATATTTTTTCACTAAATAATTCTTGCATCGTTTAAGGGAGAAAAAAAGCTAAGTATATATTTTGAAATATTATTATCAGAAGTGAAAAAGCCAATCAAAAAATGTTTGACTTAAGCATGTGCTCTTTATAATCTTACTGATTTTTCTGTGAGATTTTCATTGCTTCTTAATATACCTAGTCAGAGGGATATGTGATTCCTTTTCATAGCACTTTTATTCCAGAATTCTGGTATCGTGTCTCATACACTATTAGCAGAAAAGCAATAATTCTTGTGCAATAGAGAAACTAATCAGGTAAAAGAGTAGTCAAAATACAGTGTCACAATGAGACAAACAATATATTCCCTAAAGGAGTGAGAAGACAATGAACCTTATATGCATGGAGTTATTCATATGTTACCATCAATTTAAATTAATTTGGGAACAGAGTGAGATTTATATATAGTGCTGCTTGCAGGGAAAATTAATATCAAAATCTTCAGTAAATCTCATAGTCAGCTACTAATGACCACCTGCATATTTTCACACTAGAGTCATTTAATACTGTCCACCGCCAATTTCCACTGTAAAAAGCTATTCATATATTAAATATAGACCTTTATTTTCTTTTTTTAAGCCATAAATTAGCTTACCGACTTTTATGGAAATAGGCACGGCACAGTGAGAAGCATTTTTATTCAAGGGGAAAAAAAGGATCTGAGTAAAACATTCTTGAGTCATGACTAACTAAAAATATTAGATCAAATAAATTTTGAAATATGAATCTGAATAGTAAAATGGTTTGTAGTTAAAGGGTTAATACCACCCTAAAACTGCTGAAGCTGGTATCTAACTGATAAAATCTCAGGCTATATCATCTTAGCAGGAAAGTTAAATAGTGCAATGTATCACAAGGATTAGTCTCCTAATCTATTTCTGCTTCCTACAGTTTAAATGGCATTTTAAAAGGGGAAGTGCTCTTCCTCTTCGTCACTCTCACATGTAAGGCACTCATCAAGAGTGTAAATTTACTCACGTGAAACAATCATTGATTAAATTGGTTCAAAAAATTAAATTACATGCTTTTGCAAGCACAAAACCCTTGAGATGGCTGGTGTTTTTCCACCTGTAATAATACAAAATGTGACCATTAAGTGTACCCAAAATTATACATTATATAAAACGTTAAAGCCAAAGGTCTGAGGGTGAATTATGTCCTTCAATTGCAAGGGTAAAGTTACATTTCAGGTACTGAAGCCAACATATTCATGGTCACTTAAAAATTTAATGAATGAAGTTTCACGGACCCAATTTTCCTGAAGTTTGCCTGAGAAATGAAGACTCTTTTCATGTTCCTTTTTATATTTTGAGTTCAGCAGATCAAACTGCTGCCTGTATCAATTCATTCACATGAACCACAAAAGATCTGTAGAGAACTTAATAAAGGCACAAATATTTTGGTAAACTTTTTCAAGCAAATTATTTATTTATGAAATAATTTATGAAGTAAATTTTACCTCATGCTTTAGATATATTACATATGCTCTTGATTGACACAATATGTATAAGCTTGAAGGCCCTCATAGCATTTTTTAATTCTAGTAGGAATATTTCAAAACAACCAACTAATACATGAGGTCATAATTGTTTGACAGTTGTTTTTAATATATAAAATAAGTTATGTATATTGTTTTCTTTCAAATGTTTGTTGATTTGTGTTTATAGGCCTGACATGTGCATGGCACAAACCGAATTAGGGGAAATAGTAAAGATTTATTTACGTTTATTATCTTCTGCTGTCAAACATATGCAAAGCTCTTAAAACCGTTCTCTTCTTTTGCTTGTATTTGCAAAGTGTTTCTGAACAATGGAGTCTGGATGTTAAAACAACAGCCTGTGCGTTCACAGGATACTTCAGAAAATAAAGGAAAAATTAAGAGACATTTCTTAAAAGCAAACAAAAAAAATAACTTCCCACTAAAATAACTTCTTTATAATCTCTTGTAATTCTTTGAATTCTGGAAGATTCTCTCCTGGTTAAACCACTGAAGAAACAGTTCCCTGAGCTATATAATGCTTATTATTTATTAAAATGACATAGTACATTTTTGTTTTATTATTTAAACACTCTCTCCCCCCCCCTTTTCTTGTAGTTTATTCAGCAGAATACAAAGAGGGATTAGTAGTTAAGTGCAAGCATACTTGTTTTACATTTTCAACCTTCTACCACATAACTTACAGTTCCAGGGCCTGTAGTCACAATGATTTTACCTGACGGAACACGTATTTCAGAAATGTAATCCAACTGTTTACCCTCACACGTCATAAATTGTCATTCCTTTCAGAAACCTCAAAGATTGACAAGCCTTGGTCCTCCATGCCGACTGCTTTAACACATAGTAGCAAGAAATTATTTATGTATGATTTGCTCTCAAGTTAGTACTATATCATAGGAAGTGGATGACCATTTTGCCTTCCAGCATATTAAAAGCAATTATTGAAGTATTCTGCCCTCCTTTGGGGTGAGACCTGAAGAAACAGAACACTATCAAGTGTGAACTTCTCTGAGGGTAGTCTTCTCACTAGCACACAGCGCTCAATCCTCAAAAAAAAAAAAAAAAAAAAAAAAGAGAGAGAGATTCTGCTTGAAAATTATGATCCTTTTCTAAACAACCTATTGCTGTACACCTCTGGGTGAATTTATTCAAGATAAATTCATCTTTAAATAGCCTGTATCTGGTATTCAAATTCACATTTACACTTGCCAAGCCTTCCCCCCTACAATATCAGGCAAGTGCCTAGTTAAACAGATGGGCCTTGCAGCTCACCCTAAAAGCCAACAAACATGAGCTTTATTTAATTAAAAGAGGAAACAAATTTCTGAGGTGTAGGCACACACACAGGCACTCACATAGACACATGCATGCATACACATGCAAAAATCCCTGTCTACGGAGCCCCAGAATAATAATGCCTCTTGCTTTTTCAACAGATTTTATGAATGTCCAACCATATATGTCTATTGGGTTGATAGTTAATCAAATAGGATTACTCAGTGCTGTGTGTTCCAACCACACTATGGGAAATAACTAGATTCACTTCCCTTCTCTTAGGAAGAGAGAGCATTTACAAATTAATTAACCCAGACCCACTATCTGCCCCTGAAATATAGGTGTTTTCCAAAGTTCCCTTCTCCTGCTGTATTCTCTCATCCCATCCACTCACCGAACTTCACTCAATTAACTCTCATTTGTATATCACCAAGTCCAATACATGATTTTGCCTGAATTTCAAACTGAAATATTTCACTAGAAGTCAAGCGTGTGAATTTGAATATAAGTCTAATATCATAGTTTAGGAAGAGGAGGCTGAAGAGACCACATGGAGGAGGAAGGAAATAGACAAGCCCTATCTCTGTTGACCTGATGAGTCATCCAGACCAGAAACCCCAGACGTTGTACAACTTTGGCAATACCCTTTCCCACAGGCCCTGCATCCATTCAGATACCTAGCCCTCCCCTTGTTTCTTTTCTAAAGGAGTGTTTACCTCTTACTGCCTTACTGTACATCCACAATGGTCCTTTCAAAATTAAAGTTATTATCTCTCTCCTGACATCCCAATGAGCATTAACTCCCTAATCTCTCTCCCTCAGTTCATTACTATACTGAGCTACCAGATCAGATCATTCCCCTTCTGCATTTTCTACTCCCCATGACCAAAATCCATGACTTC